AACCATAAGAATTCAATATTCTTTTCTTACAAAAGGAAAACGTGGGGGACTGTGAACGGCCGCGAGGTGACGAAGAAGAAGGCGCAATTTGAAAAATAAATAATAAATAAATAATTGCGCCACCGGTGTAGCGGTGTCGCAACAACCAACCCCTGGTGGCTGAAAAGGCTGCATTATGGTGCACCATATAAAGACAAAATATTATTGGTTATTCACGAGACGTCGAGCCATACTTCTGTAAAAGAAATGAAGTATCATATATTTTTGTTCACTACGATATATATATATATATATATATATATATTACATAGAAACAATTCGAAGAACTCACATTTTTAAAGAATTCAACACTGTACAAATCTAGTATTGCGTTCACCCGCGAATATTCAAAATCTAGTATTAACTTTCTAGATGTCACGGTTCGGGTAACTGGTACCGCACTACAGACATAAATCTGTGGAAAACATTCAGACAGACAGGAGAATTTGCATTACCACAGCTCTCATCCGCGGCACTGTATAACGTCCCATACGGACAAGCTCACCGATTTAAACGCATCTGCTCAAACGAGAGCGACTTTAATTCCAGCGCCGATCAGCCGAGGGATGTCCTGGACAAGCTGAAGTATTAGAAGGCCACTATTGATGATGCTATCAGCAAGGCTGTGGCACTGGGCCGCAACAAACTTTCATTCGATCGTGCGAAGATCATGAATGACCGCCCGACCTCCACTCTGGTCCTAACGTACGACGCAAGCCTACCGATCCCAAACAAAATTTTGATTAAACATTTTAACATAATTGAACAAAGCCCTCGACTAAGCCAAGTTATTGCCTCGCCTCCCCGCGTCACTGGCAAACTCTCGAGTACCTTCCCCCACAAATTCCTTCTGCGGGCCCTGTCTAAAACCAAGGTGCCAGGAGTTGGAACAAATTGTTTCCAATGATACGGCAAGAAGCTCAAACCCAAACTTCAGATAGAAGGTACGCGGGCGCCTTACTTGCCACTCAGTGAACGTAATTTGCTTGCTCCATTGCGCAGTATGCGGAATGCAGTACGTGGGACAGACGGAAACAGCATTTAGATTTAGATGTAACAACCACAAGGCGCATATCACCTCTCTCCCACATTTGCCGCTATCCAAACACACGAAGCTGCCACATCACTCCTTCGAGAAAGTAACACTGGCCATTCTCGAGACCGGGTCTAAATCAAAGTACGAACGTCAGCAAAGGGGGCGTACGTCATCCCCAAGTTCGACACACGCAGGAATGGTACTAATGAAAGCCGGGGTCAACTTTCCCCGTCGCGTGGCCGTTCCGCCTGTGGTCTTATGCGCAAACCTGATTTTAACGACTCCGTGCGTTGTAGTTGGTGCGCCCGGAGGGAGTGGCGCCTCCAGGGGCTCACCTGGTTGGGTCCCTTGTGGTCTGGACAACTCTCTTTCCTGTTTTCCCCCCACGTGACCTTTTTTTTTCATATTGTGTGCGCGTATACATTATTGTGCCTGTTTGCCTCCTTTTTTTTTCACAAGAACATAGGGTTACCATACTTCTTTCCTGAATTGTTGTCATACTGATGAAGACCCGTCTCAAGTCGAAACGTCTAAGTAAATGAGTTAAGTTTTTGAAGTGGCTCTTTCTTCCATACAAAGTCTCGGAGGCCAAGCCCTGCACCTCTTACGACATATATATATATATAACTGAGAAGAAAAAACCCTTAGTGACAACAGCAACAACCGACGATTTATTTTTCTCCGTTCGTCAGGAAGACTATATATATATATATATATATTTCTTTTTCTCTTATTGCTTAAGACATTCCAAAACAGCATTTCAACTGAATGCGACTTCTACTTCGCCCACTTTCGTTCCAACTTCGACTTGGAAATTTTTGTTACGCGCCGGGAATCTCCTTGGAGTCGTGTAGAGTCCATCGCCAGGAATTCCTTCCTTGACGTCTCTTAGCATATGCAGTGCTTGGAAAATACACTTCGGTCCAAACTTGAGCTGAGCTTACTGACAAAGTTTTCGGCCAGGCCTGCGAAGAAATTCTAGGAAAGTAAATTTGTCTACCTCAAAGCTTGACCTCAGGGGATCCACGTCGAGTTGCTTTTTTACAAAGCGAACACGTTCATTTCAATCTATTTTTTTTATGTCGACCATAATAAGGAGACTTGATCAAATCTGTGAACGGCAGCCATAGATAAAACTGGAGACAAGCAACTTCGAATGTAAAAAGCTCATGCAGATCTTGTCTTATGGGTTTCAACAGCAGAAACACAGACAAACGGACGATATGAGAGAAAAAAAAATATTATGTATACCAACTAAGAAAAAAATATCTCCCCCTCCTCCCTCCCCTCCCCCTCCCCCCCCTCCCCCCCCTTCCCCCCCCCCCCCCCCCCCCCCAAAAAAAAAAAAAACAAGTTTAAAGGAACATTCGTTGCCAAAGGCCTTCGAAAAGCCAGAGAGGATAGGGGCAAATATTTTTGCCTAAGGGGGACAGGTCCCCACTCCTCTCTCCCTTCATTCTCTCCACGGCTACTTTCCGTCACCCCTTCACCTCCCAAACACGCTCCGACACCCCTGCCATTAGCACTTGAAGGCTGAGAACTTTGCAGTAAAGTCAACTTGCGAAACTACCGGTTTGCCGGTTCGGGTGCATGTAGTACCTGTGCTTGGACGTTTCTACTAAAAATACAACAAAAACGGGGGGAACTTTGATTATGTACATGGAAAGTTAACATCATTGAAAATAACATGAACAAATAAAAAAAAAAAAATGAAACGTGCGTTTTTTTTTTTTTTTTAATAACGCGGGCTCAATTTTTTTATGAAAATACTTTTTGATGAAATTCAAACATGTTTCTAAATTATTCCCCGACTATAAATTTAAGTAAAGTGGTACCAGTCGACGGCACATGCATAGGCCTACAGAAATATAGTATTTAATACGTAAATGTATAATGAATTCAAAGATACAAGGCTCCAAGTATGTCACTTATACGACAAAGATGCAGTGTTTCGCACTTTGTATTTCTGGCATGCTTTATGATAAATCAGTTTAGTATAATGGTGAAATAGGGCATGCTGCACAGATTTACAAGAAAACTTTGTTTGAGTGGTTTTTACCTATTATATTAACCGACAGAACTGTGTACAAAAATCAAGCAGCCTAAACGTAGCCGTTCACCTTGCTCCTATTCAGAATTTTTGTGAAGAAAAAAAATGTTTCTAAAAATGTTTAAAAAGTGTGCGTGCTCATTGCGGAAATAGGGCTATAATATATATATATATATATATAAAAGCAGATGAAAACACCCTGCTGGCAACCTGCTGGGCCAGCTCATATCGCCGCCGACTGTAGACTATTTTTAGTTCATATTTTTTGGCCTCTCATCTTTATAATGCCTAGAGGCCGAGCGAAACTACACAAAATTAAGAATCATGAAGGGTTTTCATGTGTACTGTGGGAATCCTTATTCCCCAACTTCAATATGATACAGATTGCGCAAACTTTGTTTCTTGGCATCGTCGCACGCGGCCGTTTTCGAAAGCGGACAACCCGTTTTGCCCTTCGCCCTTGCCATCTCTTCTCTCAGATCCCATTACTGGAGCCCATTTCCTCCTCCCTATAAAAACCGGTTGGCGCCATGTAGCTGGTCCGACCGCGCCTGAGCGGTCGGGAGTGGGCTCTTTTTGGGACCCGACCGACGAAGGATGCGTATTGTCGACCACTCACGACGATATGCGACTTCATCGGCTCTCCGATTGACGAGTGGTTCGGGGCCAATGAACCGACACTTTCTCAGCAGTAGTGTGTTTACGGAACCCTGGTTCCAATAAACGAGGTCTGGTTCTTGATCTTCGTCTAGTTAGCTACTTCTACTCGTTTCAGTCAGCGAAGGAACCCGGCTTGGCAACCGCTTTCCTTGTAGTATGTCCGTGCGGGGGGAGAGCTCCGAGGGCATCGGACACTTATGGGCTCGGTCCATTGAGTAACTTAATCCCCACAGTACAAAGAAACGGCCCGGGGCTTTGAGGATGGGCCACGAATACTTTACAGAGATGTTTCTGTCACAGCATTCGACATTTGTAAAAAGGATCAATGCGAAACCACTGTATGTCACTTCAAGGTTAACTTGAGCGTATGGATATTTCCACGGTGGTTTGTAAATCTGCATTAAAATCCCGTTTCGCGGCTCTGTCTTCGAGGACCCCTTTGGCCAGTGCAATACGACTGCTGAACTGTGGACTACCATATCAAAACCGGAAGACTTGCCACTCGCAATATCTGAGTCTACAGCCAGAGATCTTTTTACTTAGTACTCATCTGTGTTTTCCTATAATTGTATATGTCCCCAATCCCAGCAAAAGCACAAAGCGAACGACCTTTTTTGGTGCGAAATCAAAACATACTGATCGATTAAAAATTTTTTTTATTTATTTATTTAATATTTTTATTAATAATTTGATTCGCGAAACGGGTACTTTTGGGGTTGACGATATACTCTTTCCGGGGTCTCACACATCGCAGTGAATTTAGGAGACTGCAGCCATCGTGGAACACGTTTCGCCGCCGGTGCTTTCGGGTCACAGGCACCGACACAGAGCTCATGGCGAGCGGCTGTGGGGACGACGTTGACGGATGGTTCCGACAGGAACGAGGACCCCGCGCGGCCGTCAAAGCCCTTCCACCCCGGCACTCTTGGACGAACTTTGGGGGATCCGAGTGGCTCACTCGCAAAGGATGCGCACCCGGCTTCCGCTGCCTCGGAGCGATCGCTTTTTGGCGCCAGTCACGCGATTCGTTTTGTTTCGGCAGTCAACTCGAGCCCCACTCCCAACGCCGAGAACATAATGCGTAGGCGCGTTTTTTTGTTTTATTGTTATTCAGCTTTCTGCCACCCGCTGCATTACTTTCGGTCTACAAAGAAATAGCATTGGAAACAAAACAAATATTGAACGCAGCTTGGCCGCCATGTGGTGTTAACTCACCATGCACACGCGAAGCTCGCAGATCTCACCCCAGACTTTGAAAGTAGGACCATTCGTCGATCGGACCCTGGGTACCCTAGGCAGTCCTTAGGAGACTCTGCAAATAGAAAACATACACAGATTTTACACTAATCTGGAGCGTCTGCTTTCTCACAAATTCGTTGGGAGAATCAATCGCTGGAATCTAAACAGTAAACTTTGATGAAGTTGTAATATACCTAAAAAATCGATCTGCGCTGCGGCACTCAGCATGCTAAATGTCATGCTCAATGCCAAAGAACAGAATGTTTTGGAGTTCAAAGTTGCCCTTTTTGGCGACCCGTTTCAAATAGTTTCATCTGACTTGACCAGCATTCCCTTGGAAAAATGCAAGGAACTATGCAGGCTGTTTAACGAAACTCCGGCAAATTATTTTTTTTAACTACGCTTCTTAAAAAAAAGAGAATAAAGAGAAGAGGTGGATGTCTCTTTAAACCCGCTCCAGGTGCTTATTTAGGGAAATTAATATGCAGGGTGATTCAAGGAGACGCCAGGCTTTTCAAATCGACCGCAAAATTCGGTTTCTTAACCTGTCGCGCTACGACTTTGTGGAGCGTTGCCCACAGATGGTGCATTTTTTTTTTGTAAAATTTGCAAAGAGCGATCTCACCTGAGGAAAAAGTAAAAAAAGAAAAAGGCTTAGCTCTTATGGAAACGCAGCGAAGCCACCGGTCTTCAAACAACACGGCGCCGTTTCCCACGGGAGACAAGAGATGGCGCAAGTGGTCACGACGCCAACTGCCACCAATTAACGAGCATACGACGCCATGAGCCGACGTCTTTAGCAGACAAGGAACTGCAGTTTCTTGTTGATACCGCGCCTGTTTTTGTTTCTGCGACTGTCGCCGCCTACGGAACGCGCGGCGCTTTTGAGTCGAAAAGATCGTCTGCTAAAACCGCCTGCACTCGGTGCTGTATGCTCGTTCGTCGGCGGCGTTCGTTGCGCCATCTCTTGTCTCCCGTGCGAAACGGTGCCGTGTTGTTTGAAGACTGGTGGCGTCGCTGCGTTTCCATAGGAGCTAAGCCTTTTTCTTTCTTTACTTTTTCTTCAGGTAAGTTCGCTCTTTGCAAATTTCACAAAACAAATGCACCATCTGTGGGCAACGCTGCACAAAGTCGTAGCGCGATAGGTTAAGAAACCGAATTTTGCGGTCGATTTAAAGAGCCTGGCGTCTCCTTGAATCACCCAGTAGTTCGCAATAAGATCATTCTCTTTAAAGCAAAACCCTCTCTTGTTCCATTACGCGAAAAAGCGGCGGCGTTATGCCCGAAAGATGGTCACACCAATACGTCATCATGCACGCGCCTTCGAAATAAAATACAAAGAAAATCACAGCAACGCAGATGCTTCGTCAGGGAAGTCTGTGGGGGTACTGAAGGTCAAAGCGTACGCTCCACAGAAATAAAACACAAAGAAAAGCACTGCAAGGCAGATGCTTCGTCACGGAAGCCTGTGGGGGTACTGAAAGCTAAAGCGGACTTACAATTGAAAACGAGCGTGTTGGTTAATAGATACAAAACTTAAAGCGGACGCTGCCCAGAAATAAAACAAAAAGAAAAGCACAGCAACGCAGATGCTTTGTCACGGAAGCCTGCGGGGGTACTGAAGGTCAAAGCGGACGCTGCTCAGAAATAAAACACAAAGAAAAGCACAGCAACGCAGATGCTTCGTCAGGGAAGTCTGTGTGGGTACTGAAGGTCAAAGCGTACGCTCCACAGAAATAAAACACAAAGAAAAGCACAGCAAGGCAGATGCTTCGTCACGGAAGCCTGCGGGGGTACTGAAGGTTAAAGCGGACGCTGCTCAGAAATAAAACACGAAGAAAAGCGCAGCAACCAAGATGCTTTGCCACGGAAACCTGTGGGGGTACTGAAGGTCCAAGCGGACGCTGCACAAAAATAAAACACAAAGAAGAGCATAGCAACGAAGATGCTTCGTCACGGAAGCCTGCGGGGGTACTGAAGGACAAAGCAGACGCTGCTCAGAAATAAAACATAAAGAAAAGCACAGCAACGCAGATGCTTCGTCAGGGAAGCCTGTGGGGGTACTGAAGGTCAAAGTGGACGCTCCACAGAAATAAAACACAAAGGAAAGCACAGCAAGGCAGATGCTTCGTCACGGAAGGTTGTGGGCGGTACTGAAGGTCCAAGCGGACGCTCCGCAGATATAAAACACAAAGAAAAGCACAGCAACGCAGATGCTTCGTCACGGAAGCCTGCGGGGGAACTGAAGGTCAAAGCGGACGCTGCTCAGAAATAAACCTCAAAGAAAAGCACAGCAACTCAGATGCTTCGTCACGGAAGCCTGTGGGGGTGCTGAAGGTCAAAGCGGACGCTCCACAGAAATAAAACACAAAGAAAAGCACAGCAAAGCAGATGCTTCGTCACAGAAGCCTCCGGGGGTACTGAAGGTTAAAGCGGAAAAGCACAGCAACGCAGATGCTTCGTCACGTAAGTCTGCGTGGGTACTGAAGGTCAAAGCGGACGCTGCTCAGAAATAAAACACAAAAAAAGCACAACAACGCAGGTGCTTCGTCAGGGAAGCCTGTGGGGGTACTGAAGGTCAAAGCGGACGCTCCACAGAAATGAAACACAAATAAAAGCACAGCAACGCAGATACCTCGTCACGGAAGCCTGCGGGGTACTGAAGGTTAAAGCGGACGCTGCTCAGAAATCAGACACAAAGAAAAGCACAACAACGCAGATGCTTCGTCAGGGAAGCCTGTGGGGGTACTGAAGGTTAAAGCAGACGCTCCACAGAAATGAAACACAAATAAAAGCACAGCAACGCAGATGCTTCGTCACGGAAGCCTGCGGGGGTACTGAACGTTAAAGCGGACGCTGCTCAGAAATAAAACACAAAGAAAAGCACAGCAACGCAGATGCTTCGTCACGGAAGCCTCCGGGGATACTGAAGGTCAACGCGAAAGCTGCTGAGAAATAAAACACAAAGAAAAGCACAGCAACGCAGATGCTTCGTCAGGGGAGCCTGTTGCGGTACCGAAGGTCAAAGCGGACGCTCCACAGATATAAAACACAAAGAAAAGCACAGCAACGCAGGTGCTTCGTCACGGAATCCTGCGGGGGTACTGAAGGTTAAAGCGGATGCTGCTCAGAAATAAAACACAAAGAAAAGCACAGCAACGCAGATGCATCTTCAGGGGAGCCTGTGGGGGTACTGAAGGTCAAAGCGGACGCTCCACAGAAATAAAACACAAAGAAAAGCACAGCAACTCAGATGCTTCGTCACGGAAGCCTGCGGGGGTACTGAACGTTAAAGCGGACGCTGCTCAGAAATAAAACACAAAGAAAAGCACAGCAACACAGATGCTTCGTCACGGAAGCCTGCGGGGGTACTGAAGGTTAAAGCGGACGCTGCTCAGAAATAAAACACAAAGAAAAGCACAGCAACGCAGATGCTTCGTCAGGGGAGCCTGTTGGGGCACTGAAGGTCAAAGCGGACGCTCCACAGAAATAAAACACGAAGAAAAGCACAGCAACGCAGATGCTTCGTCACGGAAGCCTGCGGGGGCACTGAAGGTCAAAGCGGACGCTGCTCAGAAATAAAACACAACGAAAAGCACAGCAACGCAGATGCTTCGTCAGGGGAGCCTGTGGGGTACTGAAGGTCAAAGCGGACGCTCCACAGAAATAAAACACGAAGAAAAACACAGTAACGCAGATGCTTCGTCACGGAAGCCTGCGGGGGTACTGAAGGTCAAAGCGGACGCTCCACAGAAATAAAACACAACGAAAAGCACAGCAACGCAGGTGCTTCGTCAGGGGAGCCTGTGGGGTACTGAAGGTCAAAGCGGACGCTCCACAGAAATAAAACACGAAGAAAAACACAGTAACGCAGATGCTTCGTCACGGAAGCCTGCGGGGGTACTGAACGTTAAAGCGGACGCTGCTCAGAAATAAAACACAAAGAAAAGCACAGCAACGCAGATGCTTCGTCACGGAAGCCTGCGGGGATACTGAAGGTCAAAGCGGAAGCTGCTGAGAAATAAAACACAAAGAAAAGCACAGCAACGCAGATGCTTCGTCAGGGGAGCCTGTTGGGGCACTGAAGGTCAAAGCGGACGCTCCACAGAAATAAAACACGAAGAAAAGCACAGCAACGCAGATGCTTCGTCACGGAAGCCTGCGGGGGTACTGAAGGTCAAAGCGGACGCTGCTCAGAAATAAAACACAACGAAAAGCACAGCAACGCAGGTGCTTCGTCAGGGGAGCCTGTGGGGTACTGAAGGTCAAAGCGGACGCTCCACAGAAATAAAACACGAAGAAAAACACAGTAACGCAGATGCTTCGTCACGGAAGCCTGCGGGGGTACTGAACGTTAAAGCGGACGCTGCTCAGAAATAAAACACAAAGAAAAGCACAGCAACGCAGATGCTTCGTCACGGAAGCCTGCGGGGATACTGAAGGTCAAAGCGGAAGCTGCTGAGAAATAAAACACAAGGAAAAGCACAGCAACGCAGATGCTTCGTCAGGGAGCCTGTTGTGGTACTGAAGGTCAAAGCGGACGCTCCACAGATATAAAACACAAAGAAAAGCACAGCAACGCAGATGCTTCGTCACGGAAGCCTGCGGGGGTACTGAAGGTCACAGCGGACGCTGCTCAGAAATAAAACACAAAGAAAAGCACAGCAACGCAGAAGCATCGTCACGGAAGGCGTTGAGCCGGCGGGGTTCGCCGCGCCTGCGTAGTGGGAGAGCGTGATGTCACCGCCGGAGCGCCGTGTGAAAAAAGACGTGGCGCGCTGCCTGTAGAAATGCGCTGCGTGTCTCTGCCGAATGTGCTCTTACGTGTCTCTGCCGAATTTTATCGTGAGTAATTAACTTAAATAATTTTTTAATTTAAGGGTATGGTTTCAATTAGGAACTTGCAGGGCTTAATTGAAAATCAGGAAACCCATTCACATTTGGGTGATATTTGGCACGCCGCGTTTTACGTTGTCCCGAGAAAATGTTCAATTTGGACGCCTTTCTAGGCTTCGGTTTCTTATTGGAGAGCATCTCCGCGCCTCTTATCCAGCTTCCCCTGGTCGAAACGCG